ACACTCTCGCGCGATTATACACATGGAGGATAGTCGTTTAATGTCAAGGTTGCGTTTGAGAGTGAAAGTAATCGTTGCCAATACACCGTAAATTAAGCGCGGAAATACTGTAATTGCTTAAGCAGCATCGTCGTTCATGTTTCTTCATGTTTATGATTTCCCATTGGGAAAAAAATTTCGTCAAAGAGCAACACTTTATGAATCTTTTAATAATATTGATTAATAATTATCTACAATTTAAACTCAAATTTAATACATAAAAATTCGCAATATGTTTTGCTCGTTTTAAAGAAATTTAAACTTTAATTGAAATAGTGACATTGTCTTATTAATTAATTAATAAATAATTAAATTTAAAATTTTCCTTTTCTATAATTTATTAAGTAAATTTTACATGCTCTAAATTATTCTTGTAGCACCAGATCACATTTCTCTATCACAAAATTTTTCAAAATTTCTCCCTTTCGTATAAATCCTTTGTATATAAAAATCCTCGAAATATTAATATCTATTAATTACTTCATCACATTAATGTTCCAAAGAGTTAACTTGCGATAAAACAAAATCGAAAAGATGCCGAGAATCATTTCCGTTCGACAATAGAGATGCATATTTGACTAGCGGAGAAGAGAGGGAGAGAGAGAGAGAGATGAGAATTGGTCCCATAATAAACGCGAGGAAAGAAGTCCGCGGTACCAAGGTGAGCTTGACCTTCACCCGGTCTACATGGTCTCGCCTACTTTCCTTCTTTTGCTCCTTGGTGGGCCCCGCGGGACATGTCCCGAGCCCGAGCCTGTTTCACGGTGCCTTTCGCGTAATAGCGTGAGCGTGGCTTCCGCTGATATTTGATAACCGGGCGGCTTTAATATCACGGTCCAGCGATTACATCTTAAGGATCACGAGAGTGCGATGGACGAATACCGGGCACATTAGTTTTCTGACTAGCAAGGCGAACTTTTTGCAATAGATCTCGAGTACCGTGAGCGAAAGTGAACTCTCACCATGCACGCCGAACGTCCGGGTTCCATTAATGCAAGATGAGAATTGAAGAAATGGATGGGACGGGCCATTTTTTAAAGCGTCGATCAATTCTACTTTCGCTTCTTATCGGTTGGAAGTTTTCGTCGTCTATATAGTATACGTAGATATATATTGAAGAGAACTTAAAATTTTTAAGCTTCATATTATCAAAATTAATTTTGAATCATTTTATCTTATCTTTTCATAGACAAACTTCTCTCTCTTTATGAATCAAAGTCAGTAGCATTTGTAGAAGGAAATAGATGCCATTACATGTTTAATTTAAAATTTAAATAATTCAAAACAAATGTATATAAAAATAAAATTCGTTTGGTAAATAAATATTATTCAATAAAATATGGATATATAGTTAACTATATATATTATTTACCATATTTTATTTTTGTATTTTTAACTATATATCCATATTTTATTATTGTATTTTCAAGATTTAGAACCGCATTTATGTAAAATTAACAATTTAATAAATCACGAATAATTTACGTAATTGTTTTTATACTTAATTTCTAATGATTTAAATATAATGGCTTTACATATCCATGCATTGTGAATTTATAAATGAGATTTTTGTTTTCTGTCCATAGATCAGTAACTTGAAATGAACAAATGAACGATTTTCCGGGTCTAGAAAGAGATTGTGTCTAAAAATACTTTGCTTCACGAGACACGTCTGTGCATTTATGCGTGCTACATATATTCATCGGCACGTCTTACTTACTTTCGCGATATAACAATTGCAGGTTGGGGAACATAGTGATATCATCAATAATATATTCAATTGCGTCACTGCCAGTCAAATATTTTACTCAAGGATACGATAAACTGTAATGATGCCGTCAAGTAGTCGTTAATCTTCCAATGCAAGTATGAGACACCTCAAAATACGACGTTGTCATTTCTCAAATGAGCAGTTTATTTATTTCACAAAAATTTGAAAATAAGAGATTTTTCATAACTGAAATATCAATCAACATTATTAGCTTCTCCCTAGATTCTTCTCTGCTAACAAGTGGTTACAGACATACACGTGGTCGGACTCTGATACTGTAGACTCGACAAACCATATGGATTTCATTGAAAATTGCGTCACATTAGCGAGATTTTCAACCAGATTTAAATATCTAGGTTTTTCTATCACAAATTTTTAATGTCTAATTTTAGATATTTTTAAATTTAATTTTACAAATTAGAATTTTGTTAGAGAAAATTTATTGAAATAGGATTAATTCACCTGCTTGCATTCTCAAAGCTAAAATTTGCAAAACTTTCTGACTTAAAGAATATCGATGTTGCGATGTGTGTTCTTGTATAGAAAAAATTCGATTCTACATCTCTCGGAATGAATAGATTAGAGATGCAAGAAAGCTGACGCATGCCTTAAATGTCCGTATCGACTTGTTTAATTTGAAAATTACGTCATATTAACGAGACTTTCAACCAGATTTAAATAGACAAACGGGATCTACGGACCGATGACATAATGATTAGTTTGTTCACCCGCGAGAAGTCGTGAACAGCATCATCCCATCGCTATCCTCTGGTTTCCCGGGGTAGCCCGGGCAAGCGTCATCGATCCACAACCCTCTCGCCATGCTCTACAATCGCTTTTATATTTCGTCGCTCGATGCATCCGCGCTCTAAAACGGTTGATCCTAAATGCAGATGCAGAGACGCGCAAAATTCTGCATATTATTACATCTGGCTGCGCATTTTTTATTTGATAATAAAGAAATATTTTGCCACGAGATCTCGCTATACGTCGACAGAGTTTAGCGAAATCTCGTGACAAAATTTTCGTTCTCTATATGTCGTGGTATTAAAAGAAATTCAAATCTATTTCTAAAGTTGCAAAATTATATTATATATATATCGAGGAGCGTGAGTAATTGTGTTAAACTTCTTCTCAACTTCGCGATCGCATGTTGATCAAATCTCAATGCGCGCCGCAAAAAGTCGCAAGTATTCTTTTTACGGATTATCAAATAGATCTACATGAATCTCCACGTAAGCGAAACACGCGATTAGTTACTCGACGCCTGTCCTCAAATTTTGCCGATTAATCACTCTTCATGGCTTTCGACTACATTTTTTATCGTGCGGACAAGCACATACTTGAAATTGCTATTATAGATTTCGCTTAGCAGTTGTTGCGTTAATTTCAATTCACTTAAATAAAATAAAATTATATTCTGTATTTATAATAATGTAATTACAGTAAGCCGCGTAACCAAACGCCGTAAACAAACGATCCTATCGCGATTTAAAAAGTTAAATTATTTTGTGAGAATGTACTGTGTGGGGATACCGAAGTGTTCTTTGAGATTTCTCTCCGCACCCGCGAGTAATTTGTTTTCTCCCAGAATCAACATTTCAATTTTAAACGGAGCTTCTATCCTTCACGCACATGTACCCATACACTTTTCTACTACTAAATTTACTCATTTTCTACAAATAATGGATAATTATATTTGCTTTTACATTTCCTTGTCATCTAATCTTCATAGTTCATGATTATTTATAACATCATTTTTTAGTTTTTATTTTATTATGTAATTTAAATAATATTAATTTAAATAATAATAAAGTAAATGAGGAACACGCTCGTATGTATCAAAATACTCTAAAGTGATTAAGAGCGAGAAAAAATAAATGTAACAAAATCAAATTAATATATTAACTTAAATACAATAAATAAAATAAAATGTTTTAATTATACCGAATCTTTATCAGCCAAATAGAATAATTAAATTAAATTTAAAATTTAAAATTGAACAAAAAACAATAAATAAAAAAGATTAAAATAAATCAGGAATAAGAAATAAATCAATTTCAATACATTATAATAAAAAGTAATAATAGAGAAAAATAAAGTAAATTACATAAACCGCAATACCCATTAAGAATTTTTGCTCGTTTATTGGCCTTCACTTTACAAGTATTCAAATAATATTTCTCATTCAGTGAAAAACGTGACATATTATTGAATTAAAGCAAATAAATGACATAAATTAACATTGATGACCAATTATTAATAAATCATTTTACATTTCTTACGAACAAATAATACTCAACCTTGCTTTATGTTATAGTACGAAAAAAACGCGAATGAGAAAGTATCTTCCTGCAATGTTTATATCTGTAACGTATTGCTTGTTTGTGTAAATAAACATAAAATAAAATCGTAACGTTTAAATTCAAATTTTATTCCAAGTATATAACTCCACGTATTAATTCGATCGATTTTTATTAGAGTTATTTCCACACAATTCCTTCAAATTCTTGAAAAAAAACCCTATAAATTCCTGACGTGCAAAAATCTACGGATCGATAAATCCAATCTACGCAGAATCCGTGAAACGACGCAGACTCTGTTCATGTCACTCGCGGTAATTGTAACTACCACGTGGTGGTGTAACGTAACGTATCGAGAGGCTTGTAATCTAAAACCTAAGGATCATAATTTTAAATAATCTAAAAATCGGCCGTAAACCGAAAGTTACTCGTTAGACTCAATTTTCGCCGAATATTACATAAATAAATATATTATTATCTAAAAAAAAAACATCCGCTTCCATAAATTTTTCCGAATATTTCCGTCGACAATCATTATTTCAGAGAATGATTACTTTATTTGAATATGGAAAGTAACGTGGCAATTGCTGTTACTCAAAATTACCGCCTTTAATAAAAGTTTTTTAATAAAAATTAACAAACTACTTACGGGATTGCAATTGTCCCAATTTAATCATTTATACATATTCTTTAGAATAATTATGGAGCTATAACGTTGTGTATTCTTAAATTAATTATTTTTTTCACTAATAAGTCATAACGCATCGGTGTTTCATCGCACTCTCTACTCACGATCAATCAATTGGATTCTTCCTAGTACTATACGAAGACAGGACGAATCTATTCTGCGACGCGTGTGTAGGATCCGGCACATGGGATTTACTCACCGATATTGACAATCCTGATGCCCTCGTCCTCCAAGAACTTAAGTGCGACCGACACGTTCTCCAGTTTCTGGGAGCGGAAGGTGGGCCGTTGGTTGTGTTTCGGTAGCCGTTTCTGCGAGAGGACCTCGATGAGGCTCACCAGCCGGAGACCGTCGGACAGGTCGCATTCCAGGTCGCCGATGTGCTTGTTCGCCGCCTTCAGCCGCTCGTTCGCCCATCTTGTGAAGGTGTTCTGTTGTATTCGCTTCCACTGCGCGTCTTCGGCCAGCTCGCGCTCGAACATCTCGTCCTCCTCCTCCTCGGCGGAGTTCTCGCACTTAACTGACTTATCATTCTCATTCATTTTATCGGCTGGCCCGCTGCTACGCTCTCACGTACGAGGGTGGTAGGGGGGGGTGCGCGCCCCTGTGTTGGTGTCTGAGGAAACACAGTGATGGTAGTTGCGAGCGCTATCGATGACGAGGACGAGGCACGGTTGTGTTGGTGACTCGAGAAGTAGCGATGGGCACAAACTGGCGTGGACTTGAAATTTTAAAGAGAGCTGCTCACGTGTGTTAGCTCAGAATTGACTTATTTGTTGACATACCCAGCTGACCTTCGGATTCACGCGCGGGTTTAATTTAGATCTTTAAATTTAATTGGATTCCACGGTGAATATATGTAAGGTTTGGTATTTAAGAGAACGTCCCTTTTCTTTCGTGGCTACCTTTAACTTTAATATAATTAGAGATACAAGTACGCGAAATATCTCTGTTTTTGAAAGCTAGCGCGAATAATCTCTTTCTTTTCACTTTGTTCTCGGAACTATATCTGCTATCGGGCCTTCGAAGACCGATCTTTCTCCTTGCCGAATATTACGTAGCCCAGTCGCATGTCAATATGCCTAGGAGCTATTATTACAAGGAGACGTGCGATCAGCTGTCGCGTGAAAACAATAGATACCGAGTCCTTCTCGAAAGCGCGATAATCACAAATCACAGTCGAAAGTGAAATATAAACATGAAATATAATCTAGACAACGATAGAAGTTCATTTAATTATTACATAATATTGCTAATTAATATTATTTCGTACAAGTTTAATTCATCAATTAAATTATAAAGCGATGTCAATTTGTCTCGGGTAAATAATCGCAAGAAGGCAGTTCGAGCATAATTACATTTATACGCCTTTATCGTTATCCATTGCTCTTTTCACTCTGTTTACTCATTTTTCCACCCACGTGTCTATTTGCCAATTAGCAATAGACGTTGCTCGTAAGAGCGTCGTGTCCATCACTAGCACGAGCACGCACATCTGCGCAACAATGGGAGAAGAGGACGTCGGTGAACTTACCTGCACGGCCGTACGTATGTGTGCCGGCGAATCGAACGCACCTTCTTCAGTATGGGTGCGTGCGTGTATGTATGTGTGTGTGGGATGCTGACGCGAGATCAGCTGGAGCGAGACTCCGTTTCCACGCGATCCGCTGACGAGTCCGCCGAATCTGCTTTCACCAGCGGAGATCGCGGCTTCGGATTACTCAGGATGCGTGTTGGTGCGGGAGGTTTTCCTTGACAGCGATGTGTCGTCGTCACCTTGAAGCGCCTTTTCGAGACAGTCGCTCGTCCTGATTCGCAGCGAAGCGACGATTCACCTGCACCGCGAAATGTCATGATTAAAAGATTGCCGGCGATCGAGTTGATCGAATAAGATCGCTTATGTCTTGCGGCATAAAATAAAGTCGATATCGATAATTAATTTTTGTATGCTCCAATAGTAATTTGTGAACGATCGCAGTGCGAATAGTATTTAAAAACTCGGAACTTTTCACGAAAGAAAAATAAGAATTATCCGATCTGAAGACAACTGTTTAAAGAATAAAGGATTTTAATATACAGATACAAGTTTAAGTTGATGGAAAATCGATGTGCCCATCACTTTTCATCAAAGTGTCAGTTTCCGTATTTTGGACGCGATTGATCGAATCGGTGCTTATGAAAGTGCACGGAATCGATCAGCTTCGCTCGAGTGAAGATTCGCGCACGTGCTCGACTAAGCTGTCCAGCCTCAACACGACTTACGCGTTTGGCCTATCCATAAATAAAGTACCTAATTATAAATAGCGAAGCATCCCGAGGAAATGGCCCGTGTGTCTTTTTTGTTTACGCACGCTCTTCCACAATTTATTATTAGTTTATTTAAACATATTTCTTACTCAGATTTGCATCTCGATGGAGATAAGGAGAAACTATCTCAATTTATTAAGGCAGTCTCATTTGAGAAATAAATCTTTATATAGTTATATCACCGTCTTCGAGCGGCCCATCGAATTTTCCGCGCATAATAGAAAATTAATCGGACGCACGTTAAATTACGAATCGCAGCGCAACGGCGAGATGCCAAGTTATTTTTGGTGCGCGCACGTATACGTGACTTTTTTCCAAGGTCTGATATTACATCCGAAAGATGAACTTCATAAGCGCGAACATTGTGTTGTTTACGAACACTGAATAGATAACATGATCGAAGTTGCCGTTTTACAGAGAGACAGTTTAGTTTACATTGCGTCAAAATACATGTGCGTATAACTTAATGATAATAATTCAATATAATATAAGATATAGTTCGCGATTTTACATCTCGGCGTCGGAATGATAAGAAATGCTTAATATCCTGAACCGAGATTTTTGCAATTTATGAATCATGTTCTTATATCTGTTTTATCGGTTTTATCTGGTTCTCCGATGCTTCTTGCATTGAAAATATTACCATAAAATAAATATAATATATTTATAATAAAATATATAATAAAATTTATAATAAAATATTATATTGTCAATGGAATTCATGTCAATACGCCATGTAATATGTTTATATGGCACATAATTGTTATCTATAATTATCTATAAAAGTTATTACCAGACGATGATGCTAAAATACGATTTGTTATCGCGGCACTCCAGAGTCAAGAAGAAGATTCGAGATACCACTTCACTCAAACGTAAACCGATCAAGCTGTCATCGAAAAAAAATTTAGAGATTTCATCTATTCCCCCACCATCAAAATACGATTCGCATTGTCTTGAATCTAATTATACAAATAATATGCGAATAAATAAAAAGAATCATCATGGATCCTACATATGTTTCTCTAATAAAAATAAAATTAATCTATATTGTCAAATCATTCATTGAAACTAAAGATATTTTAATAATAATTAAAATGATTATTGCGTTAACACAATATTGTTATTCATGCTAAATCGTTTCTTTTATTTATATTTACAAACTTTTCAAATTTACTTTGCACAGTCAGCGAAATATCAGTTACTAAAACTAAAATATAGAACAAGCTTATAAATTCGTGAAAAGAATTTAAAAAATTTATAGAATGGAGGCACTGTTTCGATGAATTCTTGATACTCCGGTAATTGGACAACAATCACACACAAACCTGTTTGTTCAGACAACAGCTAGAATTCTTTACTTCGTACGATCGACTGATTCTCTATCAGCGGTCCACAAAAAACTATTGGCGAGGAGTCGCGCAAATTAAATTGCAAAATGCGACAAACGAATTGCGAGCAAGTTGCGCAGACAGATCGCGAATGAATCGCAAAGGAGTCGTAAGAAAATTACGCGCGTAAATATCTTCGACAATTTGATTTTACTACAAAAACAACAGAAGATCATTAAAATTTCAACTCTCATCGCGAAAGTAAAGGAAACACTTTTCTGCACGACCTAGGACGATTATTTGGTATATCTGGGACAATCGAGAAGAAATCAACGCAAAAGACATAATATATTAAACATTTCAAAATAGTTTTCTTTATGTACGAAGCACTACCTGACCCATGAAAACTAAAGCATTCTATATGTATATTTATTTATATAACGATTGGTCTACAAGCATTTCTAGATTTGCGTACAACCTTATGAACTCGACATCTTCTCCTTAAAGCGAAGCTAATATCAGTCTATCAGAGGCATTTGCCCCCTTAATTCTACCCTAGTAGCACTATTCAATTTGGCGATACATTGGTTAAATATATATCAAGTATATATATTTATATCATTATATGACCTGGTATATTGGGCCAATATTACCCAATATAAAACCAATATCAGTTATAAATTAAATGCCAAAATAAATTAAATTGCCAACATTGTACACTGTAATGACATCAATATTGGGTAAAAACTGAAATATTGGTTTTGTATTATTGCATTATTTGTCAATACTACTAATTATATGATCATCAGTGACTACATCTTATACTATAAATTGAACATAATTATTGAAACTCTTATGTTAAAAATGTAAGTACTTTTGTGTCTTTAAAAACGGCAGGAAAGAATAATGTGGCCTCTCGCGGCAAATCGTAAACTAGAAACTCATATTTTCTTATTTTACGTTCAAAATATAGAAAAAAATTTTTATAGACCTTTTAGCTTCTAAATTTGTAATTCTTACATACTTCTTTATATCTTAAAATAAAAGTGAAATAAAAATTATGGACAACTTTATTATTTTAAAACTATGCATAATATTATAATTATAAAAATATATTAACATTTTAATGTATATAATGTGTACACACAATAATAATGTAAAACGTACATACTTTTTATTAAAAAATTAAAAGTGTTTTGATGTAAAAATGTCTGTGATATAATAATACTAATATTTAAAATATAAAATAAATTTAACATTTGTAACATTAAAAAATGTATATAAATGGTGTATTTCAAAGGAAAAATAAATAAATTTATTGAAAAAATTTGTTTTGCAATTTTGGTAAAGAAGTGATGCAAAAAAATGTTATATCAATTTACTATATAATTGCAACTAAGTCATAATAATAACCTGTTATTTTTTCAGATTATATACATTTAAATATGGTCTTTATAGATTTTTAAGTCCCATATATTATTTATTTTTCTAGAAATCTTGTATGCTTAGTTGTTTAGAATTTAATAACAATCGGCCCAATATTATTTTTTATCATAGAGATATTAGCAACAGAAAAGAAATAAAAAATAAGTTTTATTAATATTACTTGAAAAAATATATGCATAGCCCAATATTTTAAAATTCGATATGGACCAGAAAACACAAGACATATCTATTTTGCAAATACCAACTAATGTTGGGAACCAGTTTGTAACCGATATTATCCTATTAGAGTATACTCGATACGCGTGCACTATGGTTGATTTAAATCAATTGTTTGGCCAACGAATCTTGAAGGAAAACACTTCGAGCACTAGGCATGCAGCGAGGTGTCGCTGCCATTAACAATGAGGTCAAGTTACACCGATAAACTTGATAAATTGATTTATGTGATCGCCCGCCTCTCTTCAGATAAAACTCGTAATACTATATAACGATAATACCACATACTCATCAAGCATAATATCGTAATGACAAATTGTGTGATAGAATCAAATTCTATTTAATAAAAGTTTACCGCGCGTTTTAATTAGATATAAATAAGTTTTAAGAAAACGAAAAGATATAAACGAAATCCTTAATACAATGCAACATTCTACCAAAAGACCAAAACGATGATAGGTTTGTTTCGTTATCTTAAAACGAGAACAACCGTCGATCGTCTTCAGACTTTGTCGTGAAAGCAAAAATAAAGTTGAATCAACATTGTGTTTCCCCCTAGATAGTACAATGTCCAAAATCGGGACATAAGACGTCATAAAGACGTCATTTAAGTCGTCTTTAAGACGTCTTATGTCCAAATTTTAGGCACTGTGTTATCTGGGCCCGTTTCATTTGCTCTCGCAGTCCGGTATCGTGCTCGGTTCAAAAGTTAATCACGATCGCGAGCAACGGAATCGGATCGAACGCCGGCGCGGATCTTACATGCAGTCACACGGGGCGGCGATCTCTTCAGATCGGATTGACGCGGCGCTATCTCGATCGGCACGGCGCGGTTCGCAGGCGATTACTGACGTTTACGCCGTCTGCGAGCCGAGAGTCGAACACACGTCGAAAGAAGTTACTCAGGATCCGTAAAGTCGTCCAAGAATAGTAACGCGCTCCCTCGCCGCCCCCTTGGCCGAGGGGCAGGGGGTCGATCTATATATATATATGTATATATACGCACACGCACAAATCGGGAGGGATCGTTCCCCGGTCCCGCCACCGCCAACGCCCACTCTCCCTTTCGGGGAGAGACGCAGAGACGTGTGTGCGAAGAGGATCGGGTTTAAATTTGTATACAAGGGAAACAAAACGAAACGAGTCGGTCACCCGCTGGCCGTTGGCCTGACACTGAAGAGAAAACTAAGACGGTCATTGTTACGCGCTATGCCATTATGCGCGATATTAAGTTCTTTCGTCACCTAGACGATCCCCTCCTTCTATATGCGGTTTTAGCAATCGCCTCCGAGTTCCTTCCTGGAGAAAATAACTCAGATAACACAATGTCGAAAATAGGGGCATAAGACGTCATTAAGATTTTTCAGACATTTTTTGAAAAAATGAGTAGATCCCAAAAAACAAGTATCTGAGATTTTGAGATGAATAGGTGAAAACTGATGCTGTCGGAAAATATTTATCATGTTTATCATGTTTAAAGAGCGAGGAACAAAACGATTATTCTAAGTGTAAAGCTTTATTTTTAAATTAAATTCTTCTCCTCTCTCCCCGAACATTTTTACGTTTTACGTTACGCGCATCGAGATCTGTATGCCTAGTTATAAAAAGTGCGACACACTAACGCACGCCATTCGAAAGATAGAAAAAGTCATAGTCTGTTACAATCGGGGCCTTATGCTAAAAATCACTGCCCATGTATGGGCCGTTCTCTTCAGGCGAGCGCCGCCCGTTCAAAGCGAGTTATCGCCTCGGCCCAGCGAAAGAGTTTCTACTTATAAAGACGCGGATACCATACATGGGCGAAAAGTCGATTGCGCGTTCACGCGCGGCTATTGCTCCTCCTCTCGCGACAGCACGCGCGATTGGCGAACACAGGATTCAGTCTTCGAATACGAAGGTTACTCGCTTCGCCAGAATTCAGAGATTTAATTGACTCTCAGGTACTTCTCGATGCCGGCGATTAACATAGATGATTAAGCGACATAAAGCCTTATTTATGAACTTTGTCATCCTTGATCTAACAATAATAACTATAAAAAAATGCCATGTGAATTGAAAAAACATTACAAATATTCAAACGTAGAAAAATATGTGACTAAAATAACAAAACTGCGGGAGATAACGATATACTTTAAAGAAGATCGAGTTTTGCATAGATTTCAGTTAAATCTTATAGTTAAAATAAAAATTGTCACAAATGTGCAGGAGATTTAAAGCATAAATAATTAAACTAAAAAAAAAAAAATATATATATATATATATATATATAAAAGGAATCAGAATTTTTATTAAAGAGATGTAGAAATATATTTATTTTCTCTTTCAGTATAAACCAATTTAAGTCCTGATAAAAATAAATATATTTACAACATAGTTACAAAACTAAAAAAAGGATATAAAATGTATGTATCGGATGTATACGTATATATACATGCATGAGCAATTCAATAACGCCGCCAAATCCAACTACGCGGCTCATAGACGTATATAATAGACTGAGCATTCCCATTGAAGAGCTTCCGGCAAGATCTGAAGGACAGAAGATATGCTTGCGGAGATGCTTTCCTTTTCTAATCGACACAATTAGAAAAGGAGAGCGTTTCCGCAAGCATATCTTGTGTCCTTCAGATCTTGCCGGAAGCTCTCCAATGGCAATGCTCTATTATATAAGTCTATGACGCGGATTAATGCGACCATTTGTCCATTATTTAATAGCGGATCACAAAAACAAATCATATAATCGCATAATAAATTAACCACGTAAATTATAATCAAGTAACAATAATCAAATGGAAATCCTACATCGTCTATCGTTTGATTTAGCTACGAAATAAATGTTAAGAGACAACTTGAGACTAAGTCAGAACCTAAACCTGCATTCAATATCATTCTAGTATTCATATAACTAGGTTTATAAATGTTAAATGTCTTTATCAGTGATTTTAAACTACACAAACACAACCCAACACGATAATATACACATTCCGATCTCGTTTTATAACAGGATTAAAATAAATTTTAAAATTATTTAATGATCTTACTTCCTTATAGATTCCTTATAGCAAAAAGAGCTACTTATAATCTTGGAGATATTAATCCAATTTTAACAGAAGTGTAATCGGAATGTATATGCCTATGGATGATGATTGAATTGAAAATAAAGGTCAACAACAACATATAACACGCAACATTTTAGATGCGTATTTGAACATATGCGAATCCGTAAATCGTATAGTATATGAATTAATCGAAATAACAGTATTCGCACAGAACATTCTAAAAAAAAGTCGTTCGTAACATTTGCTCCAAGTTGTTCGCGTAAAATTATTGTTTCTTTACATTAAAACCACAGGTATCCAGTCTTAGATAAATATAAGTCGATAGTATACTGATATTATTATGCTTTTACTGAGATTACCGCTTTTTTCGCCGCTTCGTCCAAATTATTCGCTGTAAGAATGGGCAATCCAGATTCGGACAAAACTTTCTTGGCTTCTGTCACATTAGTACCTAAGAAATAAATCATTAAAAAATACTTGCAATTTATTTATAAATTGTATTACAAGAACAGAAATAAAAATAAACAGATTATAAATTTAGAGAACTTATAAATGATAAAAATAATAAAAGAGATTTAAGATAATAAAAAAAAAAGAAAGAAGATTGGGGTCTTACCTTCTAGCCTTACAACAAGCGGTATTTTAAGTCCTAAATTTCGCGATGCTGCGATAATTCCTTTCGCTATCGTTGCACAATTCACGATACCTCCAAAAACGTTAACGAGAATGACTTTGACTTTTGGATCTGACGAAAAAAAAGAAATTTCCTTACATTTCATGTTTGTATCTAACAAAAGTCGTCCTGTGCATTACATACCTTCACTGAGGATTCTAAACGCCTGGAAAACTTGGTCTTCTTTCACACTACCGCCGACATCCAAGAAATTAGCTGGTGATCCTCCATTTAACTTAATAATATCCATTGTAGCCATGGCTAGGCCAGCTCCATTTACTATATATGCAAATATAAAAGTATATTCTTATATATTTACAGGTTAACTGATTATATCATTCGTATGTTGTTCCTCACAGTTGTATACATTGACTGCGTGGCGATATTCACTACCAGTACTGAAAATCTATGTATACGTAACGTATAGATTTTCAGTATTGACAGTATAAATATTAGAACGCAGTTATTATAACACACTACCATGTAATAACATTATTTCGTAATTCTCTATTTATTTAGTTGTTTAACTGTTTGAGTGCCGAAAGTAATTGCAAAAATTGTGCAAAAAATGCTAAACAATGTGTTTGCGTTTCTTCTATTCCGTGTCAAAAAGTAAGCATGATAAGTAAAACTTACTATATGTAATTTTTTTATCCATTTTTAATAAGTTGAAAGAAATTACTTCAATTATAAAATCTAATCAGTATATAAAATCTTATTTTGTGAGAATTACAGTAGAAGCTGAGTGCATTATCAAACCTGCAACAGCACATTTTAACAATGCAATCATATCGCATGGCACTCAAAATGGTCAACAGTCAATTTGTTTATTGCAAAAATATTAGCAACAAGATATACTTTACCTAGACATCCTATATTACCATCCATACCAATATAATTTAAGTTAAATCGCGACGCATCCACTTCTCTGGGATCTTTCTCGCTGACGTCTTCCAAGGCAAATAGGTCTCGCTGCCTAAATTGGGCATTGTCGTCGAATGCGATTTTTGCATCTACCGCTACCACTTGCTTGTCCGTCGTCTCCACCAATGGATTTATTTCAACTTGCAGGGCGTCAATATCCACGAATAACTTCCATAAGTTTTTCAATTCATACATGGCTTTATTAAGCATATCCGCATCGGAGAATCCCAGAAAGACGCACACATCTTTCGCTATCTCGTCATTGATCCCGTCATAAATGTCCAATGGAACGGTTTTGATCTGCTCGGGATGCTTCTCTGCGACCGCTTCGATATCCATTCCACCCGCTGGAGACGCTATCAACACTGGACCGTTGTGCTGACGATCCATAAGAATACAGACGTAAGTCTCGCGCGTGATATCCACCGATTCGGCTATCATAATTTTCTGCACCAGTATGCCATCCTTTGAGGTCTGTTTAGTGATGAGTCGATGACCTAACATATTCTTCACGTAATTCGCAACGGCATTTCGGCTATTAAAAGAGAAAAATAGGGAATCGAAATTATATAATACTGTTTACGTTTATTGGGTAAATGTCTCGTTTAACGGCCACATCTTACTCTCTCTGATTAGCTTTTAACAAAAATACACTTAAATAATATGTTTTTATGTAACAACAAAGGTTTGAAAAGCAAAACTTGTGACTCTAAAAGCAGAAATTAAGCACTAAACTGATCTAACACAAATCTAATCCTATAACTAATTTTAATTTTAAACCTTCGTCTGTTTTTTTACACTCTTGGAGTGTATACGTAGGTCTATCACGTTTGACGCTATTTTTCCCTACCTTAAAGTATTCTAAAAAATGTGAAAAAATTCACAAAACATCTGTCTACATTGTAATTGACGATTTTATAGTCATTTTGATAAACATTGTTTATTTAATATTTTCTGGCAAGCTTGCAAGTTTTACAGTTTTACAGTTTTACAGTTATAAGCAGATATCATTTTGGCTCAGATGCCGTAGACCTACATATTTACAGACAGAGGGTTAATTAAATTACATCGATCCTTACTCTTTGGTAAGATGTACACCTCCCTTGAATCCATTATCAAACCATCCTTTGCCACGGCCACCAGCTAAGACTTGAGCCTTAATAACAAATTCATCGGCCTCTGCAAGAAACACAAAGCTGCAGAATATATAATTATATCGGGTCCCACGTGAGTTACCGTCAACATATTGGCCAGACATGGGCATAATTGCTACGCTACATGTTGACTGCAAAAGCATGATAGAATGTAATAATAATATTGCCATCAGCATCGCGAGCTCTCTCACACGCAAATGTACATACTCCGGGACACTCACGTAGCTTGTCCAAGGCGGAATTCGTTTTGGTTAGGTCGTCGACGATAGCGAAGTTCTGCACCGACACACCGGAGTCACGCAGAAGTTCCTTGCTCTGGTACTCCAGCAGGTTCAGATACCTCGCGGACGACACCCGGACGATCTCCGTGCTCCTCCCGAGCAACCGCGCTGCGCGTATGGAGCGGTCGAGCACTCGCAGCATGGTTAACCTCTCCGAAGATTCGATGCACCGAACGAGAGAAAGGAAGGCTGCCGGTCAATTGACGTCAGCGATCTTAGACAATTTATCTCTCTTTGCATTCGCGGTTGCGTCACAATCGATATCGTTATCTCGGCATTACTAATGTCTCGAATGAGCCGGTTATCAAACCTGTCGGCTGAACCGCTGAACCGATCACTCTAGCCAGTCTAGACTTCCAGGGTACACACGGAGACAGGAATGGGTGCGTTCAGCCGATACTCCGCTAGCCTAGCAATCGTGAGCAGTCGCTCGTTTCCTCTCTTTTGACCCAATGGATTAAAAGGAGAGGAAACGAGCGACTGCTCACGATTGCTAGGCTAGCAGAGCAGAGTATCGGCTGAACGCACCCAATGCCTTCTCACTTGAAATTGCACGCGTATCGGGGCATATTCAGAGCGCGTGCTCCGTCTCTAGATATTTGTTCATCATGACTGTAAGGGTATCGAGAAACGTATCGGTTAAGGTGTTATACGTTTTTTGTGCGTTGATCTACGTTACATTACTATACGAGAGTCTTGTGCGGAAGCTCTTAATTACTCGGCAAAGTTCTCCTAACTTATATTTTAAGAATATTTTATAATAATATATTTCAAATAAATAAATAATTCATTAATAATATATATAATTTTAGGGTGTATTAATTAATAATATAATATCAGGGAAAGTTACGTTTGAAAAGTAACTTGTTACCGTAATTCGTTACTCATTGAAAAAGTAACTTATCGTTACCGTATACAACTCGTTATTCTTAAAAAAAGTAACTCGTTACCGTTACTCGTTACTCATTGAAAGAAGTAACTCATCGTTACCGTAACAATTGTTACCGTTATTCGTCACTTATTCAAAAAAATAACTTATCGTTACCGTAACTCGTTATTCTCATTGCAAGAACACCGAAAGAACGGTTTTGCTGAAAATTCAAAAAATTTAGCTAGATACAGATCTAAAAATAATTTGATTATATTTTGTTGCACCATCAAAATAATTATGTAGAACGTTCAAACTGATTTCTAAAATGTCAAAATTTTTTACAAAATTATTATTATACTCTAGCGACCTGCTATAATTATTTTGATCTTGCAACAAAATTATTTTCTGTATCTAGCTTTAGATACTTCAACAAAACCGTACTTTCCGAGAGTAACTCGTTACCGTTGCTCGTTATTCACTGAAAAAAGTAACTCATCGTTACTGTATATAACTCGTTATTCTTATTGAAAGAAGTAACTTGTTACAGTTACTCGTTACTCATTGAAAGAAGTAACTCATCGTTACCGTAACTCGTTACCGTTATTTGTTACTCATTGAAAAAGTAACTTATCGTTACCGTAACTCGTTATTCTCGTTGCAAGAACACCGAAAGAACGGTTTTGCTGAAAATTCAAAAAATTTAGCTAGATACAGATCTGAAAGTAATTTGATTATATTTTGTTGCACCATCAAAATAATTATGTAGAACGTTCAAACTGATTTCTAAAATGTCAAAATTTTTTACAAAATTATTGTTATACTCTAGCGACCTGCTATAATTATTTTGATCTTGCAACAAAATTATTTTCTGTATCTAGCTAAATTTTTAGATACTTCAACAAAACCGTTCTTTCCGGGAGTAACGTTACCGTTGCTCGTTATTCACTGAAAAAAGTAACTCATCGTTACTGTATATAACTCGTTATTCTTATTGAAAGAAGCAACTTGTTACCGTTACTCATTACTCATTGAAAGAAATAACTTATCGTTACCGTTACATTAAACAGATAGAAACAGAATAATTGGATTACATGAAAAAAGGCTCATAAAAGAATCAAAGAATTTTCTAAGATATTTCAAATTTTGTTAATGATATTTTTTAAATATAAAATATGAAATATTTTGTAACGTATTGACTTTTTGATTGATTTTACCTCGATAATTTTATACATAGAATAATGAAAGGAATCGATTGTTGTAAAAAGAAAACAGAAAAAATTATTTTAAAAACTGCATTTTGTAGACGCATTTAATTTGCGAATTGCAAATATAAAAACTAATATTATTATTCGATTTCATTTACTATTCTGTGTGTAAAAATATGAAGGTAAAGTCATCGAAAAGTGAATACTTTACGAGATATTTTATATTTTATATTAAAAATATCATGATATAATTTAAAATATTAGAAAATTCCTTAACAAAAGAGAACTTTATTGCAGTGTAAAAAAAATCATACAATTCTATTTAAAAAAATAGAATTTTATATGACGATGATTTTATGTGACCTAAAAAAATTAATTTAAAAAAAATTGATTTTACCATTATTTGTCCTCCTCCAAGTCATACAACTTTTGTCTAAAACATTTTTTCTAAAACTACATAAGATATCGATATTTGACTGTTCAAATTACATCCAAAACTTTTTCATTTTTGATTGTAGAAAAAAATTGCTTTAGACAAAAGTTGTTTGGTTTGAAAAAAGGACACATAATTCTTACGTGAGTTATGTCGTAGATGTCGTTTTTAAGAAATTTTAAAGGCGACTAATTTCTTAAATAACTTGATTTTGCTTTTGAGAGAAAAGTTGCAGATCTCGAGACGTTTTCGAAACCCTAATCTCTCTTTCGTTAAAAATTTCTTGAGATATTTTAAATTTTTTCGTGATATTTTTATAATATAAAATATGAAATACCTCGTTAGTCTAAAGTATTCACCTTTCAACTACTTTACCTTGACACTTTTGTATATAAAATAATGAAAGAAAGCGTATAATAATGAAATTAATTTCTACATTTGCAATTTTGCAAAATTGAATGCGTTTACAAAATCTAATCAAATTTTTTTGTTCTTTTTTTACAACAATCGATTTCTTTCATTATCCACATATAAAAGTATCAAGATAAAGTCATCGAAAAGTGAATTAATACTTTACAAGGTATTTTATATTTTATATTAAAAATATTATAACAAAATTTAAAATATCTCAGGAAATCCTTAACAAACGAGAGCTTTATTATAGTGTTTTGAAAAAGTCTCGACGAGCTCTACAACTTTTATCTTAAGGAAAAAATCAAGTTTTATTTAAGAAATTAGTTGCTTTTAAAATTTCTTGAAAACGACGACATCTACGACATGACTAATGTAGGAATCATATATCCCCCTTTATGACCCGCTTCATGTAATCCAATTATTCTGACTCTATCTGCTTAATGTAAATATGTATAAAGTGTACAGAATCAAAAAATATATAATGTTTAAATATATTAAAATTTTACGAAAGTTGTAACGACTCATTATTTCTAGAATAACAATAACGATGACAGGTTACTTTTTTAATAGATAACAAGTAACGGTAACGAGTTACTTTTCTCAATGAGAATAACGAGTTACGGTAACGATAAGTTACTTTTTTCAATAAATAATTTAGCTAGATACAGAAAATAATTTTGTTGCAAGATCAAAATAATTATAGTAGGTCCCTGGAGTATAATAATAAACAATTTTCTAAAAAATTTTGACGTTTTAAAAATCAGTTTGAACGTTCTACATAATTATTTTGATGGTGCAACAAAATATAATCAAATTACTTTCAGATTTGTATCTATATAGCTAAATTTTTAGAATCTTCAGCAAAACCGTTTTTTCGGTGTTCTTGCAATGAGAACAACGAGTTACGGTAACGATAAGTTACTTTTTTGAATGAGTAACGAATAACGGCGAGTTACGGTAACGATGAGTTACTTCTTTCAATGAGTAACGAGTAA